GCGTCGCCGTCGACGTCGGGCCCGTCGAGGAGGCCGTAGGCCGCGATCTCGCCGGCGGCGTCGGGCCCGACGAGGTCCGGGAGGGCCGCGCGCGACGCCGCCTTCGACGGCCGCGACGCGACGGCGTCGGCCCAGGCCGCCGTCCAGGCCGCGACGCGCCGCATCTCCCGGAGCGCGTCGCTCCCGTCCTTCGCGCGGTCCGCCGCCGCGGCGCCCGCGCCGTCGGCCGCCGCGAGGGCCTCGCCGAGGCCGTGCGCGGCGGCGAGGCGCGCGCGCGCCGCGGCGGCGGTCGCGGCGGCGGCGGCGGCGCAGGTCCCGCGGTCGGGCGCGCCGAGGACCTCGGCCATCGACGCGCGGAAGCGCTCGACGCGCGCCGCGCGGCCGGCGGCGGGCGACGCCGCGGCGGCGGCGACGTCGCGCAGCGCGGCGAGCGTGGACCGCCGCCCGCCCCGCGTGCCGACGACCTCGACGACGCGCGCGCCGGCGGGCAGGACCGCGCGCCGCGTCTCGCCGCGGCGGAGCGGGCCGAGGTCCGCGACGACTGCGCCGTCGGCGACGACGGCCGCGGCCGTCGCCGCGGACGACCGCAGGGACGCGACGAGGTGGTTGAACGACGTGCCGACCATGCCCGCGTCGGGCACGAAGGAGAAGAGGCCGCCGCCCTCGCGCGCGAGCGACAGGAGCAGGTCGCTCTTCAGCGCGTAGCCGAAGCCCGCGGCGAAGACCGCGACGGTTTCCGACCCGTCCTTCGTCAGCCGCTTCGCCCGCAGCGCGGCGACCTCGCCCTCGGGCGGCGAGTTGTTGGGCACGCCGTCGGTCAGCAACAACACGGCGCGCGCGTTGTCGCCCGCGCCGCCGACGAGCTCGTCCACACCGAGCTCGAGGCCGCCCCAGAGGTTCGTCGACGTCCCGGGCGCGAGCTTCTCGAGCGCCGCGTGGACCTTCGCGACGTGCGCCGGCGTCACGCGCGCGAGGCCGACGACGACGCGCGCCTGCGCGTCGTAGACGACGAGCCCGAGGCGGCACGTGTCGTCGAGGGAGCAGGCGACGCAGCGCGCCGCGTGCTTGCAGACGTCGAGCGTCGAGAAGCCGTGGCGCTGGACGTTGCCGGCGGCGTCCTGGACTTCACTTTCCGTGGCCATGGAGCCGGAGACGTCGAGGACGATCTCGATGTCGACG